ATCGTCGAGCGTGCTGGCGATTCATGTTCAATGTCTCTGGGCCCAGCCCAGGTCGAACCCGCGTGCGAAAGCGTGGGGGCATCTTTGCGTATTTTGCGTTTTTGCTGGCCGTTGAGATCCCAGCGACGGGGCGCGCGGTTGGGCGTGGGGATGCGAGGCTCGCGGCGCGGAGGGCACGGTGGCTTGTCAGTTGAATGTGGGCGAGGGTTTCTAAAGAGTCGGGGTCGGTCGCCGCCTCCGATAGTGGAGGCGAGCGCGCGTTCCAGATGTGATTGGACAAGGCGCGGATTGCCTTTGCCTCCATGCGACGCCGGCAACGCTGCTGAGGTGCCTTGTTTTAGCAGAGACTGCTTTCGTTGGATATGACTGTGCGTCCTCCTAGGTTTTGGCGTTCCAAGTCTGTGAAGCTCCGTGCTGACCAGCTCGACAAACGCGTGGCAGCCCAGAGGAAATCGCAGCGGTGGCTGACGTGCCCTCGTCTTTCTTCGTTTTGGGCCAGCAGCGCACCTGCACTTAACCTGTATCGCCGTTGTCGTCGTCGACGATGTTGTCGTCGCCATCTCCACTCGATCGCCCAAGTCGCGGGCGGGCGAATGCGCTCGCGGCCTTCGTGATATTTGCTTCGCGGTTGTTGGTGGATGGGTCGTGTGTTGGCTCGAGCATTGGCGGTTGTCGAGCGCGCGCGGATGCTCGCAGTCGCACCGCGTAGCTTACACCGCGTAGATTGCTTCGCATATGTGGCATCACGTGCGCCGCGCTACATCGATTGCAATCCAGGCGGCGCGTTGCATATACTGCGCTGCGTTAGGGTGCAGCGTCTATTTCTAGCGCCGCGCACGTGTAGTCTTGCGTAGATCGCCCCGCTCATACACCACTGCCTCAGTTGCATTACGCGCAGGTTGTACTGCGCATGTTGCCCGTCGAGAGCAAAACAAACCAAGTGTCGCCGCCCGCCAAACGGTAGGGCTCCAGGGAATTGTTCTTTAGAGGTTTTTCTCGGGTTGGCGCAGCGTTGGCGCGGCGGCGACTGCGGCGTGGGCGTTCGGGGCCGAGCGCTGCCTATGACCCCGGATCTGCCGACTTCCCCCCCCCCTTCCCCCTCCCCCCCCCCCTCCCCACTCTCCTCTTTCTCGTTCCTCCTCCTCCTCTTCCGCCTCATCCTCCTCCGCCTCCTGCTCCTCCTCCTCCTCCTCCCCCCCCTCCCCGCCCTCCTCCTTTCGAGCTGTTCGGGTTTCGTCGCGGGGCGGCCTCCTGTGCTGCGGCCTTCGGCCAAAGGAAGATCCCCCCGCCTGTCTTCTGCGAGCCCACAGGGGGCCGCGCTGGGTCTCGCGGCGGTCGCGCCCATCATCCGTTGGGCCAAGGAGGGGGAGGAGGAGGAGGAGGAGGGGGAGGAGGAGGAGGAGGAGGAGGAGGAGGAGGAGGAGGAGGAGGAGGAGGACGAGGAGGAGGAGGACGAGGAGGAGGAGGAGGAGGAGGAGGGCCACACGTCCACGCCGCTGCAGGCGGCGTTCAGCCCGGGGCACGCGGTCGTGGTGATTAGGGGTCGACCGACATGACGTTCTCTCTGCTCGTTTTTTCTGCCCCCTGACCGAGCTCGGACAAGCTTGGGCGTCGGTTTCTGTGGGGAGCGGGGGCTCTGGCAAATTGTTTCTGGGCCTGCGTCGGCCCCTGGGGGGCCCCGTGTGCGCGCGGCCCGGGCCGCGGAAGCTTCTGCCTCGATCGCTTCGGACCAATGGGGCATGATTGTGATATCTCAAGTTTCTTCTCAGCTGCTCACGGCGCCCCTCGAGGAAACGGTTATCGCGGGCAGGCGTGGGGCCTGGGGGCCAAACTTCGCCTGCGTGGGAAGGCGTGCGTCGACGTATGTTTGAGATGTCTCCAGAGCTCTCGGCCCAGCCCATTTCAGAAAAAAAGGTTGTGTGAGGTCTTTGTTTTGTAACGCCATGCGCGCGGCGAGGTGCGCTGCCGACCCAGGATGCGTTATGCCGCCCACGCTGCGCCCGCTGCGCTTCGACGCGGAAGACGCGCGCGTCGAGCGAGAGGGGCGCGTTGGTCAGGGGCGAGGTGAGGAGGTGGGCGGGGGGCGCGGACGGCGTGCTTGCGTGTTTCGGAGGTTTCAACCACCCTGCCGAGTCTGCCCCTCGCCCTCCTCAGTCGGGTGGCGTGCAGGTCGAGTGGGTTCCGCCTCCTGGCGGGGGGCCCGCGCTCGACGGCGTTGTCGTCGGGGATGTATTCGCGGGCGGGTCATGCAGCAACAGAGTCATCCCCGAACGTGGTCGCGCGGGTTGGGCCTTCTCGCTCTGGCATCGGGGCGCAGGTCTCGAGATCGTTGGAGTGCGGGGGCCTGTCTGGCCCCCTTGCCCACAGGCTGCGCAGGCCGCTGCGTTTCACGCTTGCTCGATCGCGTTGGTGCGAGTTGCTGGGCGACTGTGAAGCCTGGGTTGATTTTCGCGCCTGTCCGCGGGAAGACCTATGCTCTCCTGGGCGCGCGCGCTTGAGTGGTTCAATATAGCCGAGAGTTTTCCCACCAGAGCAAAGTGCGCAAAGTCAGGGCCAGCCAGTCCATCGAAGGGGCCGACAATGGCTGGGATCTCTACTTGCGTGACGGTAACCATGTTGTCGACGTTTCGTCGAAGCAAGCTGTGTCGATGCGCCCGCGGGCTGACGTCGCGGAGGCTGGACTGCAAACTGGCCATTGTGAGAGCTGTGGGCATTCTGGCCGCGAAGATCTTACCCCGTTGGCCGCGGCTCGATTTTGGGCCGAACGTGCAGAGGGTCCCTGTTGCCGCTCCTGTGAGCAAAGACCAGGGTCCGACGCGCGCGTGGAGCTGGACGGGGCGTTTTTGGCAGTGTTCTTGATGTTTTCGTGGATCGTGTTCAGCCGACAAGCCGCCCGCGAGCTTGTGCCGTGGTGGCGCGGGCGTCGGGATGCGTGGCATGGATGCTCCTGCGTTTTCAGCTCTGACGCACAGCGTGCTGTTTCTTGGCGCCTCGGGCGGCAGTTTTGCCTGTGTGTGCGCCTCGAGTGCATGTTCTACGCTGGAGGTGGGCAGGTTCGAGGCCTCCGACAGCCCTGCCAACCGATCCCGAAGGCTGGGGCTCAGGGTCGGAATGGCGCCTGGAGGCAGATCGCGAGGGGGCGGCGTCCCAATCGCGGAGACGCCATGGCCTTTTTTGGCCCCTGGGCCAATATGGAGGAGGATTGGAGGAGGAGGCTGCTCACGAGAGGCGTTGGGCTGATTTGGCCCAGCGCTTCCTTTCGGTTGCCACTTCGAGCCTGCCTGAGGATCTTGGGCGTCGCTGGCCAGAGCCAGCGCGCACCATTCCTAACCGCGGAGACAGCGACGCTGATTAGGCATAGGAGCCTGCTCCGTAGTTGTCTGGTCAATTGGTGGGGTCGGGGGTCGGGTCCTGTGTTGTGGATGCCCCGAGTCAGTGCCCGCCCCGCCGTCCCTCGTGGTGCCTGGCTGGCCCCCGCCTTTTGTTTTTTCTTGTGCGTTGCTGGCTGTGCCGGCGCGCTGCTCCCTCGCTGCTGTGGCAGCGGCACTGTAGAGAGATTTCGCGGATTGCCCCACTTTGTCTGGGTGCGTGGTGGAGTCCTGGGTCGGGTCCTGTGCCCGGGTTGCCCTGAGGCAGCGCCTGCCCATTTTTGCATAGAACGGGCCCGCTCTTGGCTAGAGCGGGGCCGTTCTAATCTAGAACGGGGTCGTTCCAGTCCAGAACGGCCCCTTTTTCTTGCTCTGGTGGCGCAAGGCGGGGCTTCACCCTCTGTTTATTATCGCCCAGCCTGCGTGCGCGAATTGAAACTTCGAGCCGTCTTTTGGCGATTTTTTTTTTCTTTGCGTCGGGGGCCTCGCCTTCCCCTGAGGTGACGTACGGGCTGCATGCTGCGCTGCGGCAGAACAATCCCCCTCCCCCTCGTCGTCCTCCTCCTCCTCTTCCTCCTCCTCCCCCTGTCCCTCTCCTCGTGCTCTCCTCCTCCTCCGCTCCTTTTCCTCCCCCTTCTCTCGAACGCTCTGCGGTCTCGGAGGGCCGCGGTCGCTCCAGGCGTCGTGGCGACCCACGAGGAGGTCGCCACGACGCGGGCGCGCAGCGGGCAGGTGCCTGCCTGCCGCTGCTCTGATTCCAGGCCCTCGATTTTTCGGTCCGTGGCCTCCCTGGCGCCAGAGGAGGAAGAGGCACCAGGAGGAAAGGGCACCCATGCCGCTACCCTGGCCTCGCTGTCGCCCTGTGGGGCCTCCTGGGAAGGCCCTCGCCGCCGCCGCTGGTCTCGCCAGGCAAAGTCCGGGGGTAGCGGTATCGGTGCCTTTTGCTTTTCCCTTTTTGGGCCTCTCGGCGCCTCTTGTTAATGTTCTCTTTCTGAGTCTCAGGCGCTTCAGCACGGACTCGGCGGCAGACTCTATCTCGGCGGGCGAGCAGTGATACAGTCGGACTTCATTGGACAGGACACGCTAGAGGACAAAAGACCCTTCCGAGGGCCACATTGCCATAGGACTGTAGGGCCTTTTGCTTTTCCCTTTTTGGGCCTCTCGGCGCCTCCTCCCGGGCCAGCTCTCCGTCCCCAGCCGTCGCTCGACGGCCCCGCGAGGCCCGAACAGCAGGCCTCCAGAGGCCAGAGGCGGCGACGGGCGCCCGCCGCCCCGAGCTCATCCCGCGGCCGCCGGACAGGCCTGCTCGGTGCCCCTTCTCCTCCTCCTCCTCCTCCTCCTCCTCCTCCTCCTCCTTCTCCCCCTCCTCCTCCTCCTCCTCCCTCCTCCTCCTCCTCCTCCCTCCTCCTCCTCCTCCTCCTCCTCCTCCTCCTCCTCCTCCTCCTCCTCCTTCCTCCTCCTCCTCCTCCTCCTCCTCCTCCTCCTCCTCCTCCTCCTCCTCCTCCTCCTCCTCCTCCTCCTCCTCCTCTCCTCCTCCTCCTCCTCCTCCTCCCTCCTCCTCCTCCTCCTCCTCCTCCTCCTCCTCCTCCTCCTCCTCCTCCTCCTCCTCCTCCCCTCTCTTTGGCGGGCGAGGAGCCCCAGCCCAGGCCGGCCCGCGGCGCAGATCCGCCGCCGCGCCGGGCAGCAGTGGATGCAGGCCGCCCGTGGGGGACCCGCCGCCTTCCCGCGCGGGCGGACGCCGTCCCGCAGTGATAAAGCGACGCGAAGATCTGGACAAAATCGGATCGGGATAACTCGGAATCTCTGAGAATCGGCGGGTTTGGAGGATGTATCGGGCGCCGCGGCCGCTCCAGAGCGTTCCGGAACGCTCTGAGGGCGCTCCGGAACGCTCTGGAGCGATTTATCCCGATCCTAGCCCTGTTTTAAGTGAGCCCTGTTTGATGGCAGGTGGCTTCCCTCGAGGCCTCCGAAGTGGTGTCGGAGCAGACGGGGTCGGAGGGTGTCAACGCATCGCCGATGCATCGCCGATGCATCGCCGATGCGGGTCGATGGGGAGCCCGACTTGCTTCACGTCGACGTCGCAGATGCATCGCCGACGTCGACGATTGCATCGCCGATGCATCGCCGATGTATCGGCGATGCGGCGCGATCTTCCGACCCCGTCTACTCCGACCCCACTGGGCAGCCCTCTGCTCCGCCTCTGCTCCTCCCGTGTCTGTGATCGACTCGCCAGCATCTGGTGCCCGAGGCCGCCTGCGCACTCCCCGTGGCGACGAGTCTCGGCGCCCGAGGCCTCCTCCCGCTGTCCTCCGCGGCCGCCCTCCTCCTCCAGTTTGCTGTGCGCGCCAGTGGTCCCGGCGCGGCCGGCGGGGTACCAGAGCGCGACGTGCGCTCGCCCTCGCCGCTGATCGAACAGTTTGCCCTTGATCGGTTCCGGCAGCTCGCGCACGGAGGTCGGTTCGAGTGGCGCAGGCCATGTGTGGTACAGCGTCGAGAATGTGTGCGGGCTGGTCTGTCCAGTGCGACAGGCTCAGCTGTGGCGTCGATCCGTCAGGGATTCGGCAGCCAGGATCCCGTGCAGCGGCCCCCCGCTGGGCGGCCACCTGCCGCTAGCTAAGCGCACGTTGCCTCATGCCGAGATGCGGAGGCAGCACAAGCATGCAGGCGTCCCCCCCAGCTCCACGAGCAGCGCGACGTGGAGAGGACAGACCTGATTGTGGCAGAGCTTGCAGGCGGGCGGGCGCCTCCTCCTGCTCCTCGGCCTGTCTGACCTGGTGCTCGTGGCTATTCTGCCCGTCATCTCAGTGACGACCTGATTGGGTGAGAGCTTGCAGGCGAGCGAGCGCCTCCTCCTGCTCGTCGGCCTGTCCGACCTGGTGCTCAATGGCTCTTCTGCCGGTCATCTCTAGTGCTCCTGCTGGTGCAGCTGCCCTCGCGGGTCGACCGTGGGCGCCCGAGGCCATGGACCAGGAGGGAAAAATATATAGCACCCCGCAATTGCGGATAAGAGTGAGGGGGCGGGCGCGGGCGACGCGGGCATCGTCAAGCCGGCGGACCTCGTGGCCCCCACCTTCCTTGTCGATGGCGCTCTCCTCCTCCTCCTCCTCCTCCTCCTCCTCCTCCTCCTCCTCCTCTCCTCCTCCTCCTCCGCCTCCTACTCCTCCTCCTCTTCCTCGTCCTCGTCCTCGTTCTCATCGTCATCGTCGTCCTCCTCCTCCACCTCGTCCTCCTCCTCCTCCTCCTCCGCTTCTTCCTCGTCCTCCCTCTCCCCCCCTCGTCCTTCCATCATCGTCCTCCCATTGTCGTCATGTTCCTCCTCGTCGTCCTCCTCCTCTTCCCCCCCTCCCGATCCTCCACCCTCCTCCTTTTCGTCGTCGTCGTCGTCGTCGACGTCATCGTCGTCGTCCCCTCCTCCTCCTCCTCCTCCTCCTCCTGCTGCTCCTCCTCCTCCTCCTGCTGCTCCTCCTCCTCCTCCTCCTCCTCCTCCTCCTCCTCCCCCTCCTCGTCCTCCTGCAAAAGCAGCCCGCCGCAGGCGCCGAAAAAATTGGTTTGTACACTGAACGTGGTTTGGGTCGCGGGTGGGCCGCGGGTTCTCCACCGGGAACGAATGCAAAAGATGCTCGCCGCAGGCGCCGAAAAAATTGGTTTGTACCCTGAACGTGGTCGCGGGTGGGCCGCGGTCTCTCCACCTAGAACGATTCAAAAGATGCCCGCCGCAGGCGCCGAAAAATGTGGTTTGTACCCTGAACGTGGTTTGGGTCGCGGGTTGGTCGCGAGTTGATCGCGTGGGTCGCGGGCTCTCCACCTGCAAAAAAAGCCCGCCGCAGGCGCCGAAAATGTTGGTTTGTACCTTGAACGTGGTTTGGGTCGAAGGTGGGTCGCGGGTGGGTCGCGGGGTGAGTCGCGGGTGGGTCGCGGGTGGGTCGCGGGTGGGTCGCGGGCGGGTCGCGGGTGGGTCGCGGGGTGGGCCGCGGGCGGGTCGCGGGGTGGGTCGCGGGTGGGTCGCGGGTGGGTCGCGGGGTGGGTCGCGGGGTGGGTCGTCGCGGGTGGGTCGCGGGTGGGTCGCGGGTGGGTCGCGGGTGGGTCGCGGGGTGGGTCGCGGGGTGGGTCGCGGGGTGGGTCGCGGGTGGGTCGCGGGTGGGTCGCGGGTGGGTCGCGGGTGGGTCGCGGGGTGGGTCGCGGGTGGGTCGCGGGGCGGGTTGCGGGTGGGACGACGACAACAACAACAACAACAACAACAACAACAACAACAACAATTACTAGCACGTGGGGACACTCCGTTCTCACCAGTGCCAGGGTTTTCATAGGAGGCGGGCAATACCCCCACTTTGTGGGGGGGCCGGTTCAAGCTCTACCAAATTTCCAAACGACTCTTCGCCACCACCCACACCCAGCTTCCCGCCCTATGACGTTCGGACACTTCACTTCGTGGCATGCGGACGACCGTGGCTACTATTCAGGGCCCCGCGGCCGACGACGACGGCGTGCGCGCGCGAAGAAAAAACGAATGTGTCCCGCATGGTATTATTTGACAGGGATGATGGCCCTGGCAGGTGCGCAACCGTTGTTGCAGAAGTTCGAAAAAGTTGCTCGCAAAAGCCCGTTTGACAGAAATGTTTAAAAAGTGTTGGGTTTCCTACGAATCCGCAAGAGCGCGCGGGATGAAAGTTTGACAATTTTGTTGAAAAACCATTGGTTTTTTGATGTTTTTATGTTAAAATCGCTACGAAAACTAAGGTTTTGGATGGATTTCGTCTTGCGCGCGCGAATGTCCACTTTACCTTATTTTTTGCGAGGGATTCTTGAAGTTTGGTTATGTTAGAACAAGAAATGTCCACTTTAGTTTTTTTTTTGCAAGGGAAAACCGATCGTAATAACACAACCGGATCCGGACTCCCCCGTTTTGCCTGAGACTTCCTCACGAAAATGATGAAAATGAGGCTGCGGCCTAGGCGCGGCGGGGGGGTCGTGCACCAGGGGCCCCAACAATAATTATTTTTTAGAAGTAATAATGTTCAACAACAACAACACCAACAACAACAACAACAACAACAACATCAACAACAACAACAACAACCAACAACAACAACAACCACAACAACAACAACAATACCACGAATCCGCACCGCGGAATCTCACTTCAGCCACGCACCCAGGGACAATGAATGACCGTTCGGCCCCCTTTCTCTGACACGCAGACACAATTAATCGTCCACTCCCAGGAAAATATAGGAAAATATGGGAAGTGGGGGGGAAGACAGAAACCCAGAAAATATACGAAAATAGGGGGAATCTTTTTATTTGTGTGTATTTATTTGTGTGTCCCAGGGCCCCTTCAATGGACCATGTTCCCCGTGGGCTGCACGGCGTTCATCAGCGATGGCAAGGCCAGACGAGTGGCCCCCCGCAGCTGGAGCGGGCAGCCCGCAGACGGGTCAAGCTCGATTCCTGCTGCTTGCCGTCGGCCACGGTCGTCCCCAACACGACCCACGTGTGGCTTCGGACGAGAAACCGTTCGGCTGCTTCATCGAGGTTTCCGAGGCTCTCGAGCACGATGGCGCGGTGAACGACCCGGAGTTGCTCGCCAGAGTGCCGTCCTCGACTTCGTCAGTGCCAATGCAATGACATCGCCATACCACGTGCCCCTTGCCATGCACTTCGTGGGCTACGGGCTCTGGTGCGAGGAGGCCTTTTGGCTCGAGCCTCTTTTCTCCTCCCGTGCCTGGTCAGGCGGACAGCTGGGCAGGCTCGCAGCGGTGGAACAATCATCGACCCTTCCCACGCCGGGCCGATGCAGGGCTTGCGCACACAGTTGTCAGCGGTCGTGTGATTGAGTGTCTTCCCGCTGCGGTCTGCGCTTCTCTTCTCATCTGAGTTTCGATGCGCAAATGTTCTGCCCGGGTGCGGCAGTTTCGCGCCGTGTCGACCCGGCGGCGACCCAAACGCGGGTGTTCAACGTTGAGCGCCGCTAGTGTATCAGCTTTATCAGAAAACTGCGATCGTCAACGCTTGAACGGTCCTCACGGTGCCAGAACCCAACGCGCAAGTCGCCACGACACGAATTTGCCGTAGACCAGTTGCCATTCGGGTAGTTCGCTCGCGCGAGTCGCGCTAGTCCCCAAACAGTGCTCGGGGGTGGGCAGAACCCCCAACAGTGACACGTCGATTAGTGAATTGTCCGTTTTCGGTTCTCGAGGGCGCCGTGGCCGTTATTTTCCAGGCTGGCGCCCGCCAGGTTTGGGCCCCAGGTCGTTTTCACTAAGCCACGTTCTACTACAGGGGGGTCTGTCCATCCCCGAAGTGCCTGCAGTTATGGGGCTTCTTGAACACTCGAGCCCCCCCGGGTCTTCGCCACGTCGGCGCCCGCACCCGCTCTTGGGCGCTTCGTGGGCGCCGCGTGCGCGGGGTGGGCATCCCCGGGCTTCGTCACGGCTCTCACGCCACACTTCTCACACCACACAGCTCGCACACCACGCAGCTTACATGCACAGCATACGTTACTCGCACCGCACAGCTTCTACCACATATCCCTCGCACGCCACAGAGCTTGCACAGCATGTATTGCAACACATGGCTTGCACCGTACAGACCATAGCGCTTAGACCACACCAAACCCATTATATATTTCACAGTTTGCACCGCATAGCTTGTACCACATAGCGGTCACCAGAATCCTTGCACGACACGGCATACACCACATCGTTCACACAATATGTATCACACCGCATGGCTGGCACAACATAGCTTGCACAACATAGTTTACACCACATGGCGTTCATCGCATATCTCACACCACATAGCTCGCACCAAATAACTCACGCCGCATGTGTTTCACCACATATTCTACCCTGATTAGCTTGCACTACAGATCTCGCACCGCACAGCTTACACCGCATAGCTTTTACCTGCGCAGTTCAATCATTCACTGTTTGGGGTCCACGCGGGCGAACATTTGTATCGTTAAATTTGTTGCCGCTGCTATACATGATCGAAGATGCCCTAATCAGAGTTGGCCGGAGGAGGCTTGGCCGAAGCTGGCACGAGGGTTGGTGGTTCGGATTTGCAGGGGCTGGGGCTGGCAGGAGGACCAGCCAGGGCATTTCTGCGACGGGCAGCTCCTTCAGCTGCGCACCGTCTTCATTTTGTCTCCGGGTAACGTGGGCGAACAAGGTATCCGTACCCTCGGCCTCGCGTGCCAGTCCCCAGGGCCGCGACCCCGCGGATGAGGGCCGTTTCTTCGCGACTGCCCCGCATGGAACGCATTCGTGTGACCGCGTATCCGCGGGATCGCGACCAGGAATCCAATCCGCGAGTGCGTGAGTATGGATACGTTCGCAGCTCGTGATGATCACCCTCGTTCTCAGCCGCACGCGCAGCCGCCGCCGCCGCCAGGCGGAACCGCAGGGCGAGGCCCTCGCGCGTGCCCCCGCGCGCTCCCGCGCGCTCCTGCGCCCGCGCGTGGTCTGCCACGGGGGCCCTCTGGGCGCCGCCGTCACCGTCGCCGTCGTTGTCGTCGTCGTCGTCGTCGTGGCCGAGAGGAGGACATGCAGAAGGGGGAGGAGGAGGAGGAGGGGGGGAGGGCAAGTTAGGTGCGCTCGAGTCAACATCTGACATCCTACCCCTCCCTCCCATCCCTTACCATGGCTCTGATTTTCTCTATCCGCGGACGCGTGTCGTAGCGGACCTGTGGCTCCGCGCGCGTGTGCGTAGTGGGTGGTGATGCGCGTGCGTGCGTGCGTGTGTGCGTGGTTGTGGTTGTTGTGGTGGTGGTGTGTATGTGTGTGTGTGTGTGTGTGCGTGTGTGCGCGTGCGCTGTGGTGTGACGTGGTGTGGCGTCTTGGTGGTTTGGTGGTGGGCCAGGTGCGTACGTGCGTGATGGCGGTGGTGGTGGTGGTGGCGGTGGTGGTGTGTGTGTGTGTGTGTGTGTGTGTCTGTGTGTGTGCGTGTGTGTGTGTTTGTTTGTGTGTGTGCGTGTGTATGTGTGTGTGTGTGTGCGTGCGTGCGTGCGTGCGTGCGTGCGTGCGTGCGTGTGTGTGTGTGTGTGTGTGCGCGCGTGTGATGTGATGTGACGCGGTGTAGCGTGGGGTAGTGCGGTGGTGGTGGCGGTGCGCGGTGGTGGTGCGCGTGCGTGCGTGCGTGCGTTGGTGGGTGGAAGTGGCGGTGGGTGTGCGTGCGGCGGGGCGGGGCGTGGTGCGGCGCGGTGGTGGCGGGCGGATGGGCGCGCGAGAAAGAGGGTCGCGCTGGGGCGAGAACGCCATCCTGAACGACGGAGGCAAAACACCGATCCTAAAATGAGGCCCACGCTGCAGCGGGAGCGCGATCCGGAACGATTCGGGAGCTGAAATGAGGCCGGCGCCTCAGCGAGAGCAGCATTTGGAAAAAAACGCAGGCCAAAACCCAACTCCCGGGAATCCGGTGTGTAAAAAAACACAGTACGCGGGGGGGGGGTCGAGTATTCCCAGGACGCCATCAGGGGAAGAGGGAGAGTAGTATTCATATTGAGTAATTGCGGAGGGGGGAGGAAACAGATGGGGAGGAGGGAGGGTACGGAGGGGGGGAGGGCGAGGAGGAGGAGGGGGTACGGGGAGGGGGGTGGGGGGAGCAGCATGACAGCGTCCACCTTCTCCCCCTCATCCGCGACCCCCCCTTCTCCCCCTTGCCACCTCCTCATCTTCCTGATCCTCATCCCCAAGGATCAGGAGGATGTGAAGTCGGGTGATGGGGTGGGGGGGGGCGGAGGGTGACTGAGGAGGAGAACGAGGAGGAGGACGAAGAGGAGGAGGACGAGGAGGAGGAGGAGGAGGCAGAGGACGAGTAGAAGTAGTAGTCGTCGTCGTCGTCGTCGTCGCTGTATCGTAGTAGTAGTAGTAGTAGTAGTAGTAGTAGTAGTAGTAGTAGTAGTAGTAGTAGTAGTTGTAGTAGTAGCAGTAGTAGTAGTAGTAGTAGTAGTAGTAGTAGTAGTAGTAGTAGTAGTAGTAGTAGTAGTAGTAGTAGAAGTAGAAGTAGTAGTAGTAGTAGTAGTAGTAGTAGAGTAGTAGTAAGTAGAAATAGTTAGCAAATAGCTAGGAGTAGTAGTAGGGTAGTCGTCGTCGTTTATTCGTACGTATTCCAGTAGTATTGTAGTCGTAGTTAGTTGTTGTAGGTAGGTCGTAATTAGTAGTAGTAGTAGTCAGTAGTAGTAGTAGTAGTAGTAGTAGTTAAAGTAGTAGTAGTAGCAGTAGTAGCAGTAGTAGTAGTAGTAGTAGTAGTAGTAGTAGTAGTAGTAGTAGTAGTAGTAGTAGTAGTAGTAGTAGTGGTAGTCGTAGTAGTAGTAGTAGTAGCAGTAGCAGTGGTGGTGGTAGTAGTAGTTGTAGTAGTAGTAGTGGTGGTGGTGGTGGTGGTAGTAGTAATAGTCGTAGTAGTCGGAGTAGTCGTAGCACTCGTAGTAGTAGTGGTCGTAGCCGTAGTTGTAGTAGTAGTGGTGGTAGTAGTCTCTGTATCAGCAGTAGTAGTAGTAGTAGTAGTCGTCGTCGTAGGAGTAGTAGTAGTAGAAGAAGAAGAAGAAGGAGACGTAGTAGTAGTAGTAGTAGTAGTGGTAGTAGTCGTAGTCGTAGTAGTAGTAGTAGTAGTAGTAGTAGTCGTAGTCGTAGTAATAGTAGTAGTAGTAGTAGTAGTAGTAGTAGTAGTAGTAGTAGTACTAGTCGTAGCGGTAGTAGTAGTAGTAGTCGTAGTAGTAGTAATAGTAGTAGTAGTAGTATTAGTAGTAGTAGTAGTAGCAGTCGTAGTAGTAGTAGTAGTAGTAGTAGTAGTCGTCGTAGTAGTAGTATTTGTAGTAGTAGCAGTAGTAGTAGTAGTAGTAGTAGTAGTAGTAGTAGTGGTAGTAGTAGTGTAGTAGTCGTACGAGTTAGTAGTAGCAGTCGTCAGTAGGTACAGTAGTTAGTAGTAGTAGTAGTAGTAGTAGTAGTAGTATTAGTTGGTAGGTAGGTAGGGAGGTAGGCAAGGTAGGTAGGCAGGTAGTTCGGGTAGTTCGTAGGTCGTAGGTCGTAGGTCGGTTCCAAGCAAGTAGTAGTAGTAGTAGTAGTCGTTAGTAGTAGTAGCAATATTTTAGTAGTAGTAGTCGTTAGTAGTCGTAGTAGTAGTAGTTAGTAGTAGTAGTAGTAGTAGTAGGTAGCCCGTTAGTAGCTAGTAGTCGTCGTCGTTAGTCGTAGTCGTAGTCGTAGTCGTAGTCCGTGTCGTTAGGTCGGTAGTCGTAGTCGTAGTGTAGCTAGTAGGAAAAGTCGTAGTAGTATTAGTAGTAGTTGTAGTTGTGTAGTAGTTAGTTAGTAGTAGTAGTAGTAGTAGTAGTATGGTTGGTTTAGTGGTAGTTCGGCAGTGTAGTAGTAGTCGTAGTAGTAGTAGTAGTAGTAGTAGTAGTCGTCGTAGTCGTAGTCGTAGTCGTAGTCGTAATCGTAGTCGCAGTCGTAGTCGTAGCCGTTGTTGTAGTAGTAGTAGTAGTAGTAGTAGCAGTGGTAGTAGTAGTAGTAGTAGTAGTAGTAGTAGCAGTAGTAGTAGTAGTAGTAATAGTCGGAGTCGTAATAATATTAGCAGTAGAAGAAGTAGTAGTAGTAGTTGT